CCACCACCACCAGCGTCTATACATTGTTTAGTATCACAAAAGAGTGTTATGTTCCTCAGAGGTTGCTGAAACACTAGTCAACACATGAATTACAGAGGGAATGTAGAACACTGTACCAATACTTACGATCCTACGTTGTACACTAGTCAACAAAGGGGCTGAGATTCACATGGGATAAAGCATAGCGTACGTTCTGAGTTTCCTGCAGATTCACTATGTGCTGAGCTACACTGGAAGCGTGCTGGATGAGAACCCAACTACATCAGTGGTACGGTGGCTCTGTGGCTCAGGATCTGCGCCTGTGGCTGGAAGGTTGCCAGTTTGTATCCCGCGACCGGCAGAATAATCCTATTCCGCTGGGCCCCTGAGAAAGGCCCTTCACCCTACCTACTCCAGGGGTGTCGTATAAACGGCCGACCCTGCACTTTGACCTCCAGCTTCTCTCCCTGTCTGTCTGCCTCATGGAGAGCAAGCTGGGTTGTGTGAAAAGACAAAATTCCTAATGCACGAAATTGTAGATGGCCATTAAACTGATCTCATCTTATCACCAAGGGCATCCTATGATGCTGAGACATAAAAGCTTGGTGCAAACGTGCTGGCTTCACCTGGGCAGCAGTAGGACGCGCATGAGTAATGAAAGGGGGAAGGGCAGGGGAATGTGAAAAGACAAAAGGAAGCCGAACAGGAGGGCAGGCTAAAGAACAGTTGGGCCCTGTAGTGAAGAACACATGCTGCTCTCCCCTGGTTGGGCTGTTTGTGCAATCACCACTCAAACAAAACAGCACAGTGCCGTGTGCTACCACCTTCCTGTCTCCCTACAAGCTGATCAAATACAATGTGTGCAGGATAAACAGACAAGGTCCTGTCCAAACATCTTGTCACAGGTCATCAGTGTTGTCCTAAGGCAATCAGTACTTTTCTGGGACAACACTGCCAGGGGTAAACTCTTCCAAACTATTTTCCCACACCATCTTTGGTGGTTACCAGTAAGTATAAATAGCATCGCATTAATTTAATTATAAGATTACTTTAATTTGAAGTATTTTTAACTATGCACTTCAAATAAACTGAAATAAAAAGTAAGTTCAAGTTAATTTAAAGTTCTGTGAAGAAGAGGAAGTGTTTATCCTATTAAACCAAACATTTTATTAACTTTAATTAGTTGTATTAAAAATGATAATGGCACTTATTGTAATAATGTCCTTTATGACATCACCTTTATTAAAGGTGATGTTATATTTAAAATAGTTAAAATTTTCTATTGGCTTTCTATTAAAAAGCAAAGGAATATTTATGGTAATAACAACAATAGAAAGAATAAAATCCTTGGGGAAAATGTTCTTTAATTTCTTTTAATATTTTTTGTGAAAAGATGGTTCCTAAACCATGGATGCTCATTAGCAAAATGGCCAATGAAACAAATCTTATTTACATCACATTTATATTTCAGCACAATTGTCTACCTAAAATAAATTATAGCTTACAATTACAGTTATGCCAGTTTTAAAAATAATTACTGTAAAGAGAAAAATATTCATGACAACATAATTGCACCCTCTTGGTTTAAAACAAGTTGTTAAAACGTTTATTCCTCTTCATATGAGGAAAATGTTTACTATGCCTATTAAATTGGTAATACGTTCTATACATTTTTTCAGATTTCCAATTTATTACAGAATCTTCTTAGATATCGACATGAATCTGATTTGCGCAAGACCGAACATGCTCTATACTGGACTGTCTATACTTTCAGTCTTACAAAACCTAAAGAATTCACGTCGTTAACACCCTTCCCCCATCAGGAAGAAACAAAGAAGTTACTCATTGCCACCCATGGTAACAAGTCTGTCTCCATGCGCAGCCTTCTAATGTGATCAAGATGAGTGATAACTTTCTGTACGGACATAAGAATCCTCTCGAGGATACAGGCTAGATATGGGTTCACAATGGCAGCACATATTGTATTTTAAAACCAATAGTCCACAGTGGTTTTCTGTGCTGTCACAACTGCTTAGTGTGCTCCTCTCTCTGAACAGACGGACTGTCTTTGGCCTCCAGTCGTCTACCACTTCCAGATTTTAGGCTCAATTCTCAGTCCAGAAGTCTGTGATTTGTCTTTCCCTAAGAATGGCGATTTTCTTCTCTCTTTGTTGTTTCTAGGAGCCCCTAATTCTCTTTCACCTGTGCCTTTTATCACCACTGTCTTTGTGTGGATCTCAGCTAGTCAGGGGCATGTTATTGTTATTGTCATGTTATATAAAACAGCACTGGTTGTTGCAGTAGTGTCCTAAAACCTGATATTTTGGCTTTGTTTTTTAAGTTGAGCTCATCACATATAGAAGTCCTGCACTCCCTAATGTGCCTACCACCCCACAGAAGATGGCGTATATAAAATTGCACTAGAGAAAAAACAATTCACACATTTTTACACTTGCGGTATGTGTTCCAAGCCATAGCACACAGGTAAGATTCCTTCACTAATCCATTTTAACAGGCCTCCCAATTCAGACCACTATCTTATCATGACAGTGATATGGAAAACAATTCAAGGACTGTTTCATGCTACTTTGACTAGTGGGTCTAGCACACATCAAAGTCTTATTTAATTGACCATGGGGTTTATTAGAGACATGCCATACAATTTCTTTCTTAGTCTTCTCTTACTGATTTTAAGGAGTCAAGTTTAAAGGATTGAAAGATACAATGATCATGGCACAGAAAGGCATTTCTGCCTAGCATATGAAGAGACGCCTCATAAATCACGCAACATGAGAACTCAGATAAGCTGGCTGAGAACTCAGAGTGTTATTGATGCTCTTAAGTGTAAACATAGATTCATCAACATTAGAAATAAACAGCAGCTCTTAAAGAAGAAATTGCAGGGATACTTTTAAGAATGTCTTATAAAAGGTGTATAGAAAACCCTTAAAAATAGGGAAGTGGCATGAAAGAAAAATGATACAGGGCTGTAGACAGACATAGCCCAGAGGCAAAATTAAAAATGAGCACCTGGAAACCTACAGGCAGCCTCACTTGTGATGTGATCCTTGTATAAGGGCTGCCTCGCTCATTCTGAGAAAAGCGGAGCAGAAAGTACTGTATCTCCCCTCAGATATAATTAGCAAGTTATGTAAGGAAAATGCCGAGCAGTACTTCATCTCATGTACATCAACATCTGAACCTACAGTGCAATGGGTGAATAAATCAGTGTTCTGTAATACAATCCGAAAGATCAAATTGATAATCATTGGTACGCTGAAGATGTATACATTTACTACTAACCTAATGTAAATAAAAAACATAGATACTACTACCATCAAGAACTTTTTGCCTTTGAAGAAAGAATTCCTGATGTTTAGAATCCACCTTTTTCATTCATTCTGTATAACCTCACAGGAACATCAAGCTTCTGCAAGCAAGACATCTTCAAGGAAGGACCCCAGTGTGTAGAACCAACTACCTCCATCATCACACACACAAAGATCACAACCTTGCAGATTAAATGATAAATACAACACACTGTTTTCAAAAACATTCATCCTTAAAAACACTGAGAACTTCATGTGTTTCTGACACAAGGAAAAATGAATCAGGTTAAATGAATCAGGTGCTCATTATTGTTTCTAAGAGAGATGTAACTGGCAACCCTCTGAAGCTAAGCAGGTGTGAGCCTGGTCAGTACCTGGATGAGAGACCTCCTGGGAAAACTAAGGATTCTGCTGGAAGAGGTCTTAGTGGGGCCAGCAGGGGGCGCTCACCCCTGGATGGTGTGACAGCAGCCAGAGTGCACCAGTACACTCACCACACACCAGCTCTCAGTGAGGAGAGCAGAGTGATGAAGCCAGTTCAGAGATGGGGATCATAAGATGGCCATGATTGGTAAAGGCCAGGATGCTGGGGTAACACCCCTACTTTTTTCGAGAAACGCCCTGGGATTATTAATGAGCACAGACAGTCAGGACCTCGGTTTTATGTCTCGTCTGTCCTCGTCACTATACTGGGGCATTAGGACCCGCACAGACAGCAGGATGAATGCCTCCCACTAACACCTTTCCCAGCAGCAACCTTAGTCTTCCCAGGAGTCTCCTATCCAGGTACTAACCAGGCTCACACCTGCTGAGCTCCAGCTGTGAGTTGCAGGGTGATATGGCTGCTGGCAGTTAGCCCTGGTTTCCATTTACTTAATGCACTGGAGAATGATCAGAACTTTATCTTTGAATAAGAATGCCTATACATATGTGAACTCATGCTTCCCAGTAAAATATTTTCCCCAATCAACAGCATAAGCGTTACATATATTAAAAGAATTTAGTTTTGACTGCAGACTGAGAAAAAGACAGTTCAAGGAAATGTTAGCCCTTTCCAATTCTAGCCAAAACTATCATCTGAAATTATTTAAATCATCACAGAAGTGCCTTAAATTTATATGAAATATAAACCATATTTTTAATTTCTGATACAATGTAGTTTATACAAATGAGGTACTTTTATTTAGAAAGGATCAAGATGCTGATGCAGTATTTTATGTTTTGGAACTGGATTAATTCCACTCTGAAAAGCAGAAAGAGGAAAAACAGTCTGAGCCTTTCGAGGTGTGTCTGAGCTGCATGCCGACTCCCCAGTCGAACTTACTCTGGTTTGGCCCTACTCCTCTGATGTAAGCAAACGGGGGACAGAAACTCAGAATTGTGACTCCCACTACATTTCACCGGTCATGAAGCTAAAATTGCATGAAAAAAGTTAGTCAAATATTTTTATAGCTGTGTAAATTTAAAGTCTAACATTAGGAAGACATAACAGGAAATCTAAATCACCTTATTTACTTGTTTAAAAAAAACCATGTAAATCCTAAAATGTATATTTCAGTCCAAAATAGGATTTCACCATTTTTATAATTCAGTGAGAGTCGCTCAAATTAAAATGATCCCCCTGTCCTTCCTGTGAAAAGTATGAAGTCTACGAGCTGTAAGAGTAAGTGAATGATGATGTCATTGACCAACCTGCCGTAAATCCAGTGTTATTGTCACCCAGTGGTACTGTCTGCCGTTTTTGATGCTGGGACTCTGCCACCAGTAATTAGTGCCGTCATTTGCATTTGTGATGGGATGTCGTTCTGCATTGAATCAAAAAGAAATAGAGCAGCAAATTATAGTCAGCTAAACACCATGCCCAGTCTTATGCACTTGTGCCTCAATAGGTTTTTTGCTTACAGATATCTTATGACCTTTATCTACTACAAGTTTTAAAGTGTGTAGCACAGATTGTATCAGTCCAATCCATGATCTAATCCTGCTGGGATCACATTTTCAGATGAGCCTTTTAGCAGCTGAAGCAGCACCACTCAGTCTGTGTATCTCTGAAAGCGGAGCCCAGAATTCCGAAGGAATCTTGGCATAAGCAGCAATCTCGGGATAGGCCTGTGCGTCTTCAGCGCCATTTCCAAAACCAGCTTTCCATTCAAAGAGAAGCACCGAAGCGCTCTTTGGTCTAAGACATTACCTCGTGGGTTTGTACTGTTGCCGTCGCAGATCCGACACTGAGGGTTGCGGATTTTTCTGCCCGGCACGTGTTCCACCAGCTTGCAGAACATCTCAGGCCCCATCTCCCCACAGGTGGCGTTGGTGGAGATCTCCGCATTGCTGGCCAGATTCAGAATAGCAGGAAAGAGACCTGAGGACAAAATTGAAAAGGACATAACGTGAGCTGCAGCTGAACACACACAGCTTGGTTTCCTCGTGTACAATTTTACTTGCACACAATCTTCCAGTTAGAACAAAAGATATTTATGTAACCAGAGGTTAGGTCCTAAACCTTGCTGTGATTTCAGTATGACAGATAATGCAATTATCTGACTAGACAGTCTCAGACAGAAGGACAGCAGATACAGTATATGGGAAATGACAGGGTATGCAGAGGTCTACTATCTATTATTGGAAGTAATGTCTACTTTCACCTCCAAGCCGATACAGTTAAAGTGAGAAAATAATAAGGTGAGAATAAGCATGGAGACGAAAAGCTAGGAAAAAGAACAATCAGAATCACAGTCTGAAATCGCGAATTCCATAACCTTAGTAATGATACTGTGCGTGGGGAGAGAGAGGCCACAGCCCGCAGTCATTTTTTCAACCTGCGAGACCTCCAGTGCCCACTTCTTAGTCTCTTAGTGGCGACTGGAGGAGGGATGCAGCTGGAAGCAGATCACAGAGGCTCCCTTTGTGAGGCTGACCAAGACGATCTTGTCGCACTGAAGCATGCCCATTTCTTGTGGTCCACGTCTAATGTTAAACGTGTCCCAGACTTCTGTTTATTCCTGTTTAGATTCATGTAACTTGTAATAAAGGCAAATTTGCAAAGTACATTTTGTGTGTGAAGGCACGGATGATGCATCAGTAACTTTGTGCTTCAAAGACACCTACTGTACACCCCACCACGGAGCCGCCTTCGACTGCACAGGAAACATTCCCCACATCTGAAGGCTTCTCCTGTGCAATCCGATTGGTCAAAAGGAAAGCCTGAGGGGGGACTAATCAGCACAAACCCAGTGCTTTTCAATTTGTTTTAACTCTCTTGTTTTAACTGTTGCTCTGGGGGGCGTATCTTTGAAGCCTGGATTTAAAAGTGTTTGGACTTATTTGAAATGGGCGAAATAAGCAGGTCTTGGAAAGCTGACAAAGGAGGCAGTGTCCTGTTGCAGATGCTTTTAAAAGCATCGTGAAAACAAGCTGACAGTCTTACTGTCTGCCCCAACATTCCTGTAAGGACTCCACGCGGGGTGAAAAATAAAAAGCACTTAAGACAGGAACATGGACTTGTAAGCAAAGTGTATGATTGAAAAATATCTAGTGCATTACGGTCAAAATCCCTTCACCATTCCAATCCACCCCTATCACCACTATGAGCCACAACCATTTCAAACACATCACATCATAACAGCCACCACTGTTGATAGTAACCCTGATCAACTCTGAACAGACATGAATAATTTAACTTATACAGAAAATACTAATTTGTTTAATATAATAATACATGCATAAACACTCTAATTTCATTTAAAAAAACGAAACATGCTTATTACAAAACAAAATTAACAATAGCATTATAAACTGGATTAATTAAACTTCAATTCAAATTTACAAAATTTGTTTCTAGCATAAAAAGAAACTATTCTTCACTGAAAACATATCCAGATCTTACTATACAGCCAAATGTTGAAATGTGCTGAGGAGTCTTCAGGACAACGGGCTCCAAAGATAAAAAAGGGCTTAAGGTTAAAACCCATCAGAAAAGGCAATTACTCTAATTACATAGTAGAAAGAATACTAATTTCTGCTTGTCCCAAGGGAGTGCAAGCAGACAATCACAGATAAGTCACTGAAGAACCCCTATGAAACTCAGGCAGATGCAGTTAGAAACATTCCTGAGATCAATGTATCAAGTATAACACTGACTACCTCGAGCAAGCATGAGTAAGCGGGCATCTGATACCTCAGACAAACTGAAACACCAATTGAGAAGCTTTTTATTAAGCATTGTAGCAAACTACCCATGAGTGAACCTACTGTAGAGTGGCTGAAATATTCACAGGCATTTCACTCGGTACAATCTGAATATGTAAGGTGTGTTTTGGTGATCTGATTGTCCCAGAAACAGTAAATTCCATTGGCAGACTTAAATTAATGTTTGTTGTGTAAATCTTATTGATATCTCTACCATTTTACTTCATCTCCTTAGAAACCAAAAAGGAAAATCACATAATCAAAAGGACATGACATTCATTTTACATACAATACCCTCAACTAAATTGTAAAAGATCACACAACTACTTAGTACTTTACTTCACATCCACAAATTCAATTATAAGTACTAAACCACTGATGAGTAGTTTAGTCTGATCTGGGATGAATCTTTCGTTTTCTCTGGAAGAATTATTTCCAACAAGCTGTTATATTTATGGAGACAGTAGCACTGTATACTGTGATGTCAGGAGAAGATAAGATTAATTCTGAACTTGTGCATCCTTCATGTAATGTGAGTACTGTGTATATTTGTAACAGATGTTCATTTTACATTAGCAAAAAAGAAACCCTATTCAACTGAATGCTGAAAGTTTTAAGGATGTTTTCAAAAAGCTTCAAACACAAAGGGCAACTTAAAATGCTGGAGTAAATAACTATAACACTATAAACGTAGAATAACTGCAGTTATACTGTACCTACAGTATACACTATAGGTATACAGTTTCTGATACAGTAATTCTAGCAGAAAGTGATTTGTAGAACATCATAGAACCGATCAAATGTCACCAGACTGCGTTGATTTATTTTTTAAACCAACGCATTGTCATTTTCTAAAATGAACCGCAGAACGCCACTGCTAAAAAACATTTCATGTGAACAAGTACAGGGTTTTGCATGCAGGCTTTAAAAAACAAACTATAAACAACTGTACAAAATGGTAAAAACTGAGCCAGAAGAGGCTCCTTATGAAAATATTTTTTTATAAAACTGCTTTCATGTACTTTCATACTGATTGGGTCTTTTTTCTTCTGTGGGCTGGACAGATGGAATCACATAGATCAGGGGAGACCATACAGTAGATATTCAGTGTACCCCATAGAGTTTTACACAAACATTGAAGCTATATGCACATAGATGAAAGACTGTGTTGCAGGATATTGCTCCACAAAGCAGGGCTGCAGTTGCCCCTATTTTATAAAATAAGTCTGTATCTTCTCTGCAAGCATTCTTGCTCGAGTTTAAACAGAGGGTGTGTAAATAATGGTCCCAACAGGCTGAAAACAGGCTGTGAAAAGCCGGTAAGAAGCCATGAGAAGTTTCAACGGGGGAGTTAAAAGCCCTCTCCCCACAACAACAGAGCATCTTTCAGTCTGAAGGGCAAAACTATTGAGTCGACTATTCTTCATAAACACAGTTTGTATATTTTAATCCAAATGTTTTTTTTAACTCTTATATAACTGTTACACACTTAAAGTAAACCAAAGAAGGCGTAAACTATTTGTAAATAATTCAAGAATGTGTCACTTTCGCATCATTATTTGTAAAAGAATCTTAAATGTGATTTGTAGAATAACAGAAGTATAATTTACCCAGTGAATCAACAGATATAAATGATCAAAGGCTTTTCAAAGCACCAAACGATCTGTCAAATAGCTCAGTCAATGAAGTTTTGAGTGTATTCTTAGCACCTCTTCAGGTGATGCCTTGTGCTACACAAGCAATTAAATCAAGAAAGCACGATGACGCTCGGCAAATTGGAAAACTTTAAATAAAAACAGAATGCTAAAACTGAGAAGGCTATCTTTTTAAAACCATGCAGTCAAGCTCAGTCTAAACAACAAAGGCTGAAGGAGCTGTAAATGAGACAAAAACAACAGAGCTATATTCTACATATACCTACCTTCAAACTGTTAGTGTGCAGGCCTGAAGGCAAAAAATTCCTAGATATTGCTGTAACAGGGCTGTTAACAGCTCTATTACGTGTGTCTGCATCAGAACAGAACATGACAGTCATTCATACTGAACTGCTGGTTACTGTGGTTTGGTAGATGGGACTGATTCCAAGTAGATAATAGGTCTACTGGACCAAAAAGAAAGGCCTGTTAAACCATCCACAGGGCCTTCCTGGCTGTGTGGGTGAAAGAAAGAATCCTTTCTTTCACCCACGCTGCCAGAACTGCAAGGATTATGTCTAACTGAAGTAGCTGGTATCTTTAATATCACGCCAGCTGCTCAGCTTCACCTGTTGGCTTCTTCATTACTGTACTTCTCTTCCTGAGCTGTGGCCAGCTCCTGGGTTTTGTAGACATGGGGATAAACAACAGTACCGCACAGTGGCCTTTAAATTGTCATGCAGGCAGGGCTAGCAAAACAACAGAAGATGTGTACAACAAGGCAGCAGGAGTCGAAAGGAAAGCAGGAAAGATATCCATTAGTACTGGATCATGTCCGCTAAATGAAGCCCTCGTTCAGCTCATTCTATTTATTCACTATGCTGCACAGAAGGGTGAATGTCACACTAAGTTCAAATAAAGACTGGCCTTCAGTGGGAGTGACACAGGGGCGGCTGTCATTAGCCTTTCATTTCTGAACTCTTTCATCTTTGAGAAGATTGTTAACTTGACAAATCTAAGAGATATTCCCATAATTTATCAGACATTCTGCAAGGAGTATTGCGTAACAACAATAAAGGGCTCCAGACAGCTGATTTAGGGAGATTAAGTTGGAGGGCTTGCTTTAATTCAGGCCCTTTTCCCCTTCACATTCTTCTCTTCCCAGCCCCCGACAATTCTGACCAGATCACAGGGGTCAGCTTTACTGTGAAAAATCAAGATCATGTTTCAGCGTGCCAAGAGGTATAGACTTAACTATGCATTCATTGGACTGAACTAGTTTCCAAAGGTTAACCTACCAGAGGGCTTCAAAAAGCATGCTGATAATTTTGCAGAATTCCTGCTGTCTATGGGAACCTGTTTCTTTTAGTTACAATACAACACCAATGGTTTACTCATTAGTCTTTCGTCAACATTCAAGAAGCACAAGCCAAGCATGCGAAAAATATCCCTTAAAGACTCAGAAAAGTCACAGAATGTCACTCTTTAAATTGAAGGACTTTCCTTTAATACTTTTCTACATTATAGCTAATAAAACAGA